CTTTCTTTGTAGGCACCCATCATGCACAGAAGATTCTGTTAGCCCTAATGATATTTCTTTGTTGGGAGAATATCTGTTAGGTTTGTGGTGACAACAGCAGGAGATGTTTTTGTCAAGAGCTTCTGCCACGATCCAGGCTGTTTTATAGACTAGTAACTTAGATACTTTTTGTGTCTAAAAGGAAAATGCATGCTACCATAGGCTTTTCACCCATAATTCTTAATGTAATCTGTCATTTCTGTGCTTTAATATGACAGGCATGTTATTGAAATGACACCCATGAGATCAAATTCTCCCCACATCTTGCAGAAGACAAGCTGTGAATTTTGGTCCAATGAATTTTTAGACTTTCTGTAGTCAGATGGGACTGTATTTTTTTTCCATCTTACTTTTTCTGCCTCTGTGGTTTCAGAAAAATCAGCTGTGAGCAGTCTGATCCAGAAGTCCTAGATAAGCCTAGGATATTTTAAAAATCTGTGCTGAAATTAGCTGAGAGTTACTTAATGGTGTATTTCCTTTATTGAAGACATTACTGAAAGAATGGCACTCAGGTAAGCAGTGATTAATGGCATTTCATTAGGGACGGATTTTTTTAGCTGCCAGAAGAAATTATCTGATGTTTTTAAGCATCCTGTATTCTGACTATATTCTTGTTTAATGCAGAACCTGATTGTACTAAAAGCAAATGACTTGTTGCCTTACACACCAAACACTGACATTTCCTAACTGTGATGTACACAGTATTTCATTCAAAAAAGTCTTTCTTGAATTGAGTTTTCTAACAACAGTGGTAGGAAGGGAACTTGCACCAGTATTCTTCAAGTATTGAGGGTATGTTTCGGTTCAGTGCTGTGCTAAATCTATTTTATGCCAAAATCTCCAGCATTTAGGACTGGTTTCTTTCAGTCTGCCTTCAAGGATTCTGCTTCTAAGTCTTCTTCTCCTTCCCTTGGAAAGGGAGAAAATGTGTATCTACAAGGTACCTCAGTCTTACAGACTTAGAAAATTCAGAGAAAGTATTGACTACAGAGAGAGTTGAGGGAGACTGGTTTCTTATCTTGCCCGCTAACCTGGAAGCTTGGAATGAGCCAAGCAAATAAGCATGTAGCACCCCTGTTTCCTTCTACAGGCACATTTTTCTCTGAAGATTCCATTATTTATGCCTTTAATCCATTATTTATGCCTCTATTCCATTTTTGGTTAGAATTGAGAGGACAGAGCATGTCTGAAGTTTATTGAGATACCACTGGCATACTAGAGCACTTAAAACTGGTGCATGTATTCTTTGTGTATTGCAGTATTTGGTGGCAAGAGGAAAAGAAACAGTATCAGGGAAATATATATAAAGAGTAGGTATAACGCAGTTATGTTTATCTATAGGACACTATTAAACTCTCATTAATGATATAGGAATCAGTAGCACTATCTCTAGTTTTATGTCATATTCACCACAGAAATTGATGGAAAAACCTCATGTAGATGTTCAAGTGATGGAAAACTGGCAAAATTGGAAAACTGGAAAAATTAAGTTTATGTTTGCTGAGTCACCAATGATAATTTTAAATAGCTTTAGTGTTTTTCATGAGCTCTTTTCCTGTAGAAGGGAAAAATACAACACGGTGTTTAGTTGCCTATAAATATTTAGTTTGCTATTATACAAAACTAGCAATTTGTGGTGTTTAGAGAAGCATGTCTTTCACAATCCAACATTCTTTTCTTGAGCAGTCACTGAAAGCAAATTTGGATACAACAGCCCCTTCTAAAATCTGTGGTGGTAAGTTGTCAATGCAAAGATTGAGGTTTGTTGTTTCTTTTAGGAGCTGACAAGAAAGAAAATGAGGTTCTCCTTTAGTCGGAACATTTGCCTAAATTAGCTACTATCCACAATGCTAATAGCCTTTAGAAAAAATTTCTCACAGAAACAGAGGAACATAAGAAGCTCACTGTTTTCATTGGCACACGTTTAATGTTTCTCCTAGGTTAACTCTGAGGTGTCTGTACAACAGTGGTGGTAACTGCTCTCAGTTATGTGTGCCTGGGATGATTAAGATCTCATGTACCTCCAAAATATGTAATATCACCTCCTCCTCACAAGAAGAGTCAAAAAAATTGATGAGGAATACAATTTCTGTGTGTTTTCTCACTTCTTTGAGAATACGATTTTGTTGTTTATTGATAACATAAGTTTTTTAGTCCTAAGACAAACTCTTTGTGGAGTCATGGGACAGCATTTACCTTGCTTTACATTGGGTAGAGTTGGGCACTTTTGCCTGCGATTTGCAAGAAGCGCAGCTTGACTGGGGGTCATTCCTTCACATAAACAAGCTGGATCTTATGTTTGTTTGTCTTGAAGAAACAAAGAGTCAGCTCCCGAGTGCCCTGATCACTGGGCTGTGTAGTGATGGTCCTGCTCCCTAGTATCTGGCCCAGCAGAACTGCTTTGTTTTTTACAGAGTATTGTGACTTCAAGGGATGGTGTGCTCTGATTCAGGGAGTCTGTTTAGGTGTTTGGTTGTGATAGTCCACTGAGTTGTAGATCTAATTTTTAACTGCTTCAGGCTGAAGAGGGAATTGAACTTGACAGCCCCATTTCCTGCGGGAGCACTGTAACCACTGCACTGTTAGAAAGGGCAATTTTATGCCAGTTTTTCTCCTTTTTTTTTTTTTTTTTTTTTTTTTTTTGGCTGTGCTTTCAAAAGCAGTTATGGCAGCTGTGTTTTGGGAGATCTGTATTGATAACAGAGCTGTGTTATTCCTCTGTTACCTGCGCTCAGACCTCCCAAGGGGACCTAATACAGGCTGTGCAAACCAAGGTTATGGAATTCAGGGAAGCTTACAATGAGTAGCTGCTAAGCTGCTATATTCCAGTATGACCAGAAGCATAAATTCAGGCAGACTTTGAAGACTTTAATATAAATGTAGGCAAGTGTGGACTGCAGGAAGTTACATAGTGAAGCAGGGATTGTCTAAATGCCACTTGGGTTTAGGTTCCTAAAACTCACCTAAATCCTTGTCTTTATCTGTGCTTGGATATTTGAGGTGTTACTTGCGGGTAAGGGCAGTAATTTAGCTGAGATATCACAAAATCTTGGACTGCAGCATTTGCAGCTTCTGAATTAACTGTTAAGAAAAACACTTCTGACAACCAGTTAACTCTATCCAACATTCTTTATGTTTCTCTTGTTGTGGGAAATGGTGATGATCAGATTACAGACCTTGTCAACTCATCCAGGCTGTACCTTTTCAATAAACAGAGCTACCACTCTTACTATTCTTACACTAATCTGGCTGTGTCAGATGTTCAGATAACTCCACCATCTTTAGGTTGACCATCAATTTACATCCTGCTTCCTAGATAAGCCCAGTAGTAGGATGGTGTTGAGACTGAATCACTGGAATAGGAAGAAGGTTATCAAGTGAGATACTGCTCGCACCTCACACCATACTGGTACCGCATTTTCAATGTTACCTGGTCTTCACTTTGAACAGTGGAAGTAGAGGAAAAAATGGGACGCTGCACTGGATGGATCTCAAGGAGGTCTGATAACACGTGATGCTTAGCAGTATCAGAAAAGGTACATACGACTACACAAATGCAGTTTTCTTAATTTCTGCTGTCTGTACAGTGTCTAGTAACCAGGGGTGTCAGAAATAGGTGATAATTCGAATATGATCAGCCAGGAAAGTTTCTTTACTTTGTGCCATGCTGGAGCAAGAGACATTGCAGAATGATGGGAAATTATGCTGTAAATCCCACTTATGCCTACAGTCTTCTCAGTCAAGGCAGTAAAATGGGCAGTGAGGTTGGGGTCTAGTCTCTGTGCAGTAATTCCTTAAGAAATAGTTCAGCTTCCATCTATGTCAGTCCGGTAGCCTGTTCCTCACAGAAAGGCACTGACAGCAGAGCCAGCCAAAGGGATAATCCACAGAGATTGACATTTACAAACCAAAATACGTATGTTGTAGACCTCAGTCTCTTGAGGTTCTTTGCAGAGAGGCTGTCAGGGTAATAGATGCATTTACACTCTTGTGCCCTGTCACAACCAGCTTCATTGTGATTGATCTTCCTGACAAAGAGGATAAACAATTAGTCATCCTTTGGGAAGGCATTGTCCGGAATTAGTAATCCTATCATCCAATTTCACCTTATCATAGGGAAAATTGTAATTATTTTTAGTCAATTTTGAATAAAGTTGTATTAACTTCATAACAACAGTTTCAATCTTGCTATTAAATTTTCATTTGGAATTTTGGTTTTGTTTCTGTTTAAAAAGTATCTCATTCTTCCAGGATGAGATCATAGTCTTAATGGAGTTATGTTTAAAATTATATATATTAAATACATGTTTAGACTTTTGCAAAGGTTTGAATCTTTGTGCAGCTCAACTGAATTCAGAAAATATTTTTTCTCTCTTCTTCTATATTCCATTTATGGAACATTAAAAATATTAGTTGCAAAATCTGCAGAATACTGTGATAAGGAATAATTTTGTAAAGTACTGAAAAAATGAGATAGCATTATTGTGTATAGTAAGTGGAACAGTCCTTATCACTTCTATTGCCATTTAAAACAAAGATTATTACAGTTGCTTGATTCCTTTATAAAAGAAACTTAAGAACATGGAGCTCTTGAATAATTAGTAATGGACTATTTTTAATTATAAAATAACCTGTGTTTAGCCTTATAGCTTAAATTTATTATGTATTTTACATTTTTTCAAATGAAATGCCTATCCACCTTCTAGTTCATCAGAAACGTTTAGAAATTTCAGTGAAGCTGTAAGTCTGTGCATATTGGGTGAGCTAAACTAAATTATATGGATTATACTAGGCTGTCCACCAAAAAGGTTACATACAGCTTTTCGTTAAGAATCTAAAAGCCATTTATAGCATGTACGTAAATCATATAGCTGTTCTGTGTAATGAGGAGGACTGCTGTTGACACATAGGAGTTACTAACTGGCACCAGAATGATAAAACTGTGCTGTCTTGTTTTTCAGGTCTTAGGAACAGATGAGGATAATATGGGGGATGGTTGCTCTCAGAAACTGGCTTCTGCCAAGTTCCTTCGACTTTTGCTCCTAATACTGATTCCGTGCATCTGTGCCCTTATCCTTTTGTTGGTGATCCTCCTTACCTTTGTAGGTGAGTGCTAATGGGGTAAATTGACACATTTTTAATTAAGGAGGCTAAAACTGAGACTGCATTCTCAAGTGCCAATGAAATTGCGGACATTAAAGATACATCCCAGTACATCTACCTAACAAACTAATCTTCCTAGTGACTTAATAATGTTTGTTGCAGAGAAATAAATATGCTATTTGGATTTATATGTATAAAATGTATTTAAGGTACCAAAGAGGAAACTGTTTCTGAATTTCTCAAAGTAGATTTTTGGGGAGCATACTACATGTAGCTACATGTAGATGGTTTTCAGCAGTCATTTTACAAGTACAAAAAGATGTTTATGTTAGAACTTTAGATCACTGTCAGTGGAATGTAATATTTATCCCTTTATGGCACACAGTGATGTGCAAATCTGATTTTTATTTTCAAGTGAAAGCTAATTTATAAATAGCCATAATCTTTCTGAACAGCCTACGAAATATTACCACTTAGCTAAGGAGAAATATGTCCATTTCTTCTACATATGAAATATGTATCGATGCAGGACCCCAAGTATGTTTTGTGGAAACTTGTTCCAGGTATATTATATTTTATCATGACTTAGTCTATTAACTAACTCTGTGTCTGTTACAGAATTAAAAGGTAGTGATTTATTACCAAAAAATTTTTACAAAGCCTTCCCTTTGTTACCTTTAGAGAAGCTGGCATATCATTACATTGCTTCAACTACAACATGAGAAAGACAGTCATATCAGGTTAAAGCATTACTTTTTTTTTCAGGAAAAAAAAAAAAGTGAAAAAATCTGCTTTCAGTGCTGAGGGTTTCTTGGACTTTAACTTCTTTTTTTTTATTAATGAGAATATTTTCTAGTTTTGCTTCCTTAAGTACTTCAGAAGCACATTTGTAACAAGTGGCTTAATGTGTGACATGTATAGATACAAATTTATTTTCCTATTTTAAACCCCCAACTTCAATACGTGTCATACAATCAAACAGTTAGCAAGCACAGGAAGAAACTAAACACATCTCAATAGCACCTTCAGCACTGTCAAATCTGTTTTCTCAATTCAATCTGTAAAGGACTTGCAACAAGACATTGTAGGCATGTTCTTTTCATTTAGCTAAGTTAGGGAAGTAAAAAAAAAAGCCAAGCTAGTGAATGTTATGACTGACATAAGTAAGTCTTGGGATGTATCTTTAAACTAAGAACAGTCTGAACTAGATTAAGATCAAGTAAGTCTGGCAATTAGGAAATATGATGCCGTTCAACATACTTTCCTTATGTTTAGCATTCCATTTATATCCTTCATATCCTCTGCCCTAGATTTTCATTCTTTGGTGAGAAAGCAGATAAAAAAGCAGGTGTATTTACGTCAGCTCTACTCAATCTCCTCCTTAGAGGCATGTATTGACATAACACTCATTAAAATGTATGAAATCTTCTGGGGAAATGGGACCCGTTCTGATCCTACTTACGTAGGAAAGATTGGGACTATCTCCTCTTAAGTCAATGTTATTACTGTAGGGTAAAGAATTAGGCTTGGTGTTATTACCCAAGTCTAAAACTGGCAAAGCTCCCTTCAGCATCTTTTGAATTAGTATGATTATAATTTACTATTCTCTCTCAGTTAGAAGCTTTCATTTTATGTGCATTGATAACCTAGAAATAAATATATCTGATGACTGGAATTAAATGAACAAATTCTGTGGGCATCTTTAAAGTGTATTAAATATAATATAGTCTCTTCTATTTATTGAGGATACACTATATCCAGAATAGTAGTTCATATTCATTTCAGATCAATAATAACTGAATTATGTTACAGTCTAATATTGTATGATGACTTATAATGTAAGAAATGAGTTGATAGTCCTGCCTGGCTAACACAAATTATTTGTTATATAGGAAATTCTGTTCTTATTTTTTCACAAAATGGAGGAGTTAAATTCTGTGGTTGTCGTTCTAGTATCTTTCACTGGTGCTTAATACATAAATAGAGAGCTCCAGTATATCATTTAGAACCTTATGAACTTTTTTGATTTGGCTTTGGTAATGAACTCATCAGAAAATTAGGCCTTTTATATTTTGCAAGAAAGTATTTTGTTTCTTGTAGTAAGTTTGTAAGTAATTATTCTTTTCCTTCTGTAATTTTTTTTTAATTAAATGAGGCATATACACGTGGAAAGGTGTGCATGCACCTTAGAATTTCCTACTCAATTTCCTTTCACCTATTTTGTTGCTCTGGATATTATGCAAGATTTGATGTTGAAGAAACTGAAAAGTTGGTATGGGTGGAAGGAGACAAGTAGAGCAGCACAGTTATACTGAAGTAATAGAGAATATCCTACTCGAGGTGTGTCATGAGGGCCTGTTTTCAGAATACGACATTAATCAACCTTTCAAAATTATTTATGATCAAAATATTCAAGATGCAAAGCCCCTGAAGACATTATTTTGTTAGAACTGTGTACAAAGAAAGTAGAAAGCGAATTATCAGTAGAGATAGATACACGTTATATTGACTAAAGACACAAGAGACTTTTATGGTCCATAGAAGAAAATATCAAGCTGAGTTGTTTAGCGTTGATTTCTCTTAAGTACTTACTTACACTCTGGCTGTGCACACTCTTCTGCCTCTCACCAGGAGTATAGCACGCTTGTCACCTGCAGAAGAAAACTTTGTAATGAGTGAATGTTGTTTCAGTCATTGAAGCAGAGGCAGTACCAGTTGCTATGAAGGAAGTCTAGCCTTTAGACCATGACCATAAAAATCTGCTGACTGCCTGTGTTACATCAGAGGACAGGAGGGCTTAGGAATGGTGCTTGCTCTGGACTGTTGATGACCTAACCTTGACCATGAAGACCTAACTCAGCAACATAAATTTGAAAGGGGGAGAGAAGGCTAGATTATACATGACTAAAATTACTGATATCTTACAATTTCATCTGACCTCTATAGACATCAAGAGCCTTCTAGTAAGACTGGTCCATAATTTTTTTCTGGGGGTTATAGTTAGTGTAGTATAGTAAGTTTTCATTACTTTCCAGAAAAACAAACAATAACTGAATCCATGGTTTGAATAGCGAAATCTTTTTTTAAAATGGAGAGGTGGAAGCTCACCTTCAACTTGTTTCAGAATCTGAAGTCTATGTCCCATTTTGTTTACACTGAAAAAAACCCGTCAAGTAATGAATAGTGTGCAAACATTTCAAAGGTGAAAATCAGCGTGTTTGTAAGAATGAAAAACCTCTGGCATTTTCATTCTTTTCCTTGCAGAGAGGAAGTGTTCTAAACCACTTGAAACATTGTTTTTAAAATGTCCTTCATGGCTGGTGAGCATCATACCAAATTAAACATTTTTTTGATTGTACTGTAATTGCTTACCACTGCAGTTATTTATCTGGGAAAACAAAGTGCTTTATACATACAGTTCCATAAAGAAAAATTAATTATATTTATTTTATAGTGATAAATGCATTCCATGGTAGATGTCCCATTCCTCCCATTGCTTCACATCAGTATCCTCAACTCATACTCATGTGGTCTTCTGTTACCTCTTGTTAACAGCCATCCACAACTAATGCTTTATTTATTGTTTTCTGTAGAATTCAGAACAAGTTTTGTGACACATACAAATGTCAGACTTTTACAGTCCAGACATAATTTTTTGGGCATATGATCACACTGCAGGAGCACATCAAATAAACCTGCCTTTCAGGCAAGCAGCATACCATCTTATCTATGCACAATGTTAGACATTCATGCATTTTGCAAAATAATATTTTAAAAATCTGTTAGTCCGTCAACACCAGTGGGAATGAGGATTACAGGTAAAGTCTCCGAGATGCAGTGTTGACTATGGGTATGCAAATAATTGAGGTTTTGGTTCTCTCACTGTCCTTACATTATCAGCATGCAGAGGTTATATTTTGGCTCTGACATGTATTTTGAGATTAATTTTGGTTCTCAGTGAGAATTATTACAAGTGTTATGTGTGACAGGTTGTATTTAGCATTTTCATTTCACTCTCCGTAAAAACAAAGCTCATTCTAATAGCTGCATTTTTATTATCCTTGTATAAGTATGAACCAGCTGTGGCAGTTCTCAAATCATTCTGTTGTCTGGCAAAACTGTAGCACAATTCTGTCCACCTGAGAGATGCTGTCAATGTCTTCCATGTCGCTGGCTGAACAATGATCTATGAACTATTATATTATCTGTGAGACCTGTGTTCTCCTCTCCCTTCTGCTCCTGAGAACACAGAAGGAGCTGTGTCTCCTTCACAGAATAAACATCAGGAGAAGTTCATTATAGTACATTTGTGGCTGTTGGATCTTCCACATTCCTAAGGTAACATGCATATGTCAAGACTCCTGTATCAATTTGGGAGCCCAGCTGTACTGGCTCATAAGGAACTTTTTGCCACACAGAAAGTTAAAGTTGCAGGGAGTTATAGTTACTCTCTAGAGTAAAAGGATCTTGATCCCTGAATCATTTGGAGATACTGGCAGTTATCCAAGGGATGTCGAGCCTTGAGGCGTATGACATGTCCTCAAAATCTAAAGTGACTAGCAGCATGGAGGTCCAAAAGTTATAGTTTTGAAAGCAACATGAAATATAAACAATCCCATTGTCAATCAATGGCAATATGTGCTGTAAGACAGGTGTCTAAGTTTAAGACTACCATATAAAGAAACCATTTGGTCCTGGGAGTTTTTCTAATGGAAGATGGTAATCATCAGCTAAATGATCTGCCAGTTCTTTAATTTCATCTTGCCAACACACCTATATTATGGGGAACGTCCAAAGGAGTGTATCCCAGAGCAGCCCGTATTCTACCCGTAAGACCTAATTTAGTCTAGCAAGCCTTCTTTACTGATACACCTGGAATGCTGGAAAAAAAAATAAAATGCTGTGAATACAGCTCCAGGTCAGAATGTCTGCTGTGAGACATCACTGAGGTCAGCGGGGAATTGCTCTTGTGATCTAGAGAATAACGAAATGAAAACCTGGCA